CTCAAACAAACACACATAATAGTAATGCAGTCAGTAGAATATTGCAAGGCACTCCACTCCCTTTGCCAAATAGGAGAATGTCCGTTTAAAATTGTGTTTTCTTCTTTTTTCTTTTTTCCTAACGTACGAACAAAATTACAATTTTGATTTTAAAAAAATTTATAAAAAGTTTTTGAAAAATTCAGAAAGCAAAAAATTCAAAAAACCGATTAACTATCTAACCATAAAATCTAGAGGCAAACAAAACAACATAAACCATACAAACTTATACACAAAAAAGTGAAAATACAATATACATAAACACATCATACCCAAAAATACCAAATAAATAATACAAAGTCACGATAAACATCGTTAATACAAAAAAATGGCAGACAAAACCCAAGAAGGCGAAAAATAAACATTCAATATAACCTAGACAATTTATTGCTAAATGCCTCTTAGCCATTTCACATTCTAATGATTTCGATCAACAAATTTTTCATTTTTTTTCTATAAAAAAAATTTTTTTGTATCTTAAAACAATACAAAAAAAAACAAATAAAGAAGTGAAATGTTTTGTTTCCCTGAGGCTTCAAAAACAAGAAAACATACAAAACTGAAAGAATACAAAATATACATATACAAAATAAAAAAATACAAAACAGAAAACTACAAAATCAAAACAAATACAAAACACATACAAAACAAGATCATGCAAAACAGAAAATACAAACCAGAAACAAAAAAACGAATCAGAAAAAAATGAAAATATCCAGACAAAATCGCAGATTGAGATATATCCTAGAAACATTTTGAATATGTAAAAAACTTTCAAACAATGCTAATTTAAACAATGAGGATGATGATGATGGCGACGATTATGATAATAAAAACATCAGAAAAAAAGCAGAAAATTTTAAAATAAATGGATCGAAATAAATTTGAATAATTTAAAAATTTTTCAAAATTAAACAACTACAACACTACAAAAACTACTACTACTACAACCTACTACTACAACCTACTACTACTACCACAACCACCACTACCACAATAACCACAACAACCACACAACACTCACACCACATATGAACTGCATTAAAGAGTTTGCAAGGAGCAAAAACAAAATACGCCAGAAGTCATTTATTCTTCAAAATATAACTTGTCACTATTACTACTACTACTGCTGCTGCTGTTGTTGTTACTACTACTGCTGTTGTTGTTACTACTACTGCTGCTACTGCTACTACTACTACCACTACTACTACTACTACTACTACCACTACTACTACTACTACTACTACTACTACTACTACTACTACTACTACTACTACTACTACTACTACTTTTACTTCTACTATTATAACCAAACACAAAAATAGAAATTACCAAAAATAGAAAGTACAAAATTACAAAAAAATGGAAAATGCACAAAAAAATATTAAAAAAAATAATCATTTTTTTCCACAGCAGCTACATCAATATCCAGCTGGCCTGAAGTACTTGAGAGAGCCTGGCGATCTAACTCTCTAGGAACAATAATAATGTCAGATGACGATGATGATGATGATGATGATGAAGATGATGAGGATGAAGATGACGATGATGAAGAAAATGGCGAAGATAATGATAACGATGATGATGAAGTTTAGAGTGATGAAGAAGAAGAAGAAAATGATGATTATAATGATGATGATGATATAATGAAGACGATGATAACAACGATGATGATATAAAAGAAGATGACGATGACGACGATGGTGATAGCGACAATGATAACGATGATAATAAAGACGCTGAAACTGGCGATTATGAAGGAAATAATGATGAGGATAGCGATCCAATTATAGATATGCTAAATAAATATAGGAATAAGTGATTAATGCCCGGCAAATTGGTGATTAATATAATGGTGCGGATGATGATGACGACGACGACGACGATGATGAGGAAAAGGATGAAGACGAGAAATTTGATGATGATGATAAGATGGCGATGTTAATGGAGATGAAGGTGATAATTATGATGACGGTTTTTATATGCATACATAAATATGATTACAAAAGTTTGTAAATTTCTGTGTATCTAATGTAAAATATTAGAATGATAAATTCAAGAAAAATGTATAGAATAGACACATGTTAGTTGGTGTACATAAACACAAAACATTACACATACACACACACACACACACACACACACACACACACACACACACACACACACACACACACACATGAAAACACACATACAAACATGAAAACACACACACAAACATACACACACACACACAAAAACTCACAACTGTAAGAAGAAACGTTGTCGTCATCTTCTTGTCGTTGTTCGTCGTGGCTGTTCATCCGACCAGCATCAGAATATGTGTAGTTGAGATTTTGAAGTAGCAAAAAGTAGCAGCATAACCTGCCTATTAGCGCCACCATAGTCGCTCCAGTGGATTTCCCTTTTAAATATTAAACAAAAAATGTTTCCCGCCTAAGAGTTTATTATTTTCTTCAATTATTTCGTTTATTTTCATGTTTTTCTTCTATGCTATTTATTTTGGCTTGTAGGTTTTAAAATTATTTAATCTTTGTTATTTTCAATGTTCTTCTTTGGATCAATTCCTCAAAATTGATAATGATGGCAAAGAAAAGTTCTTATAGACAGATGTGATGATGACGACGACGATGAAAATGACGTTGTATCAGTTTTTTTAGCTGTACTCCAAGTCTGAAATATCATAGATACAAATCATTGTTAATTACAAATTTATTTATCATCATTAATATCATTAAACAGCAACTATGATATCATTTGTAAAATTTATTATCATTCAGTCGCCTTCATCATCGTCGTCATCGTTAAATTCATTGTTATAATTGTTATCATTATTATAGCATCATCTTCATCATCTTCTTCTTCATCTTTTTCATCATCGTCGTCGTCATCATTACCGCCATCATCATCATCATCATCATCATCATCATCAAGGCAGCCGGATGTACGCTGATTCTATGTGATAAAGTAAGGTCAAGTGCATGAATGAAAGAGCGAGCGAATAAATAAAAGAATAAACGAATGAATGATGAAAAAAAAATTCAATGAAATGAAAGAAAATGTAAACGTCAGAATGAATAAAAATATAAATGAAGGAATGAAAAACAAAAGAATGAAAGTCTTTAGCGAACGTATAAAAGCGAATGAAAAAGCTCTCAGGACAAAAGCAAATAAACGCTTAAATTAATGAAAAATGAACATTTGAACGACTGAATGTGTTAAAATAAATTAGAAAAATTAAAAATTAACTTCCACACACACTGCTTCAACCTGTTAAATTCAATAAGAACTAACTCGTAAGCAAGCAATAAACCTTTGAAACAATATAACGGATGAACTGAATGAACATTCAATTAAAATTAAACAAAAATAAAACCTCAAATAACCAAATTTTAAAAATTTGTAAATTTTAAATTAAACAATAAGCTAACGAACAAGTGGACCAAATACATTAAAATATATAGTAAAGAACATGCAAACATAGAAACAAACGAACAATCAAACTCAGGCAAACATCAAAACCATCAAACGTGCGAACGCATGTAAACATGAGAACCAAGAAACAAACAAACACATGCAAACCGCATTGTGACGATAAACTATTCCACTTAAACTTTACACTTTATAACCCCTCAACACTCCTTCTTTGGTCTCTCTCTCTCTCTCTCTCTCTCTCTCTCTCTCTCTCTCTTACTCTTGTTTTTTTCACTCCCTCTCTTTTCACTTTCAAGTTTTTTTCTTCTCCTCTTACTCTCCATCCTTTTTTTACTTCTAACCTCTATGTTCTCTTTGGAGTTTTCTTTCTAATTTTTTATTATTTTTGCCGTTCACTCTTGTCGTCTCGTTCGTGTGACAATGTTTTATATTTTAGCTATTTTTCTGGGCTGCTGTCTCTTTTCTTTCTTATCCCTCTTTTTTTATATATATCTCTCTCTCTTTTCGTCATTTCTATCTCTTTTTTCTTTTTCTTTCAATTTTTACCTCTTTCTCGCTCTCTTTTTTTTTCTTTTTTTTTTCTTTCTCTGCCTCTTACATTTTTTTTTTAAATCCAAAAAAAGGAGTTTAATTAATTAAAAAAAAAACAAAAATAAAATGAAATTTAAAAAATAAATAGATGAAAGTGGTTATGTGAAAGTAAACGTATGATTGAACGAGAGAATGAATGAACGAACGAATAAAAGAATGAATAAATGGAGGAAAATATAAAGGATGGAAAGAAGGAATGAAGGAATGAAGGAATGAAGGAAGGAAGGAAGGAAGGCATTCTTAACAAAACGCGCCCAGGAATCATCCATAACAGACTTGCACGTGTAATGCTTAACGGCTAATTTCATCCCATAATGTTCATTCCCTGCAAGATTACGCCAATCCTTCTCTTCCCTCTATCCTTCATTCATTTTTCTCTCTTTTTTCACTCGTTCGTTTCTTCATTCATTCTTTTTTGTTCTTTACTTGTTCATTCATTCGTTTTTATTTTTTCATTCATTTATTTTTAAGAGGGTTGATCAATTTTAAAATATTTTTATTATTCTTTCAAATATTTTTTCTTTCATTCGTTCGTCTATTCGTTCATTCATTCATTTATTCATTCATTCAATCAATCATCTATTTATTCACTCTTTCATCAACCCATCCATCCATCTTCTCATTCACTCCTGGATTTATAACGTGTCTCACTGTTGATTATTCTCTTTACACTTCACTTTCTTTTAATCATCATCCACCTTAATGACGTCATCAATATGAATCATCTATCACTCTGCCCCAAAGCATAAAATAACAACAATAATACAAATAGTAATACAAATAATGATTTCATT